ATATATGGAACTCGAGCCTTTGCCTCTTTTAACATGATGGGGAGTGGAAGGCATTCTCACTCTTTTCCCCATCTAAACACTCAGATCTGCAGCTAACATCTCTTCCTGAGCTCTTTTAATAACTTTAGCTCTGTTTATAACTTCTTGTAGACTTGGCAAGTTCAAGGCCAACATAATCTCATTTAAATTTAGCCTCAAGCCCTCTATGAACTAATCACGTATTGTTTTGTCATTTGGAACAACATCAGTGGCAAAATGGCTCAACTTGTTATACTCAGCCTCGAATTCATGTACGGCTCAATCACCTTGCTTCAGATTAAAGAACTTTAGCAACATTGCCCGTTTGAACTCCTCGCCTACATATTTGTTCTTGAATTTTTCCAGGAAAAATTACCAGTCACTTGCTATGGTGGTGCATACATCGTAGTATTTGACCACCATACTAGAGTTGATCCTCTAAGTACCTCTCAACTTTTTCAGATTCATGAATTGAAGACTCTCGAACATTAATATCACATCATTTAACCACAAGTCAGCCTCCATGGGACCCTCACTCTCTTCTCCCTAAAACTCTGGAGCTCCCAAGCTCTTCAGTTCTTTTGGAATTAACATTCTCGGGCTGGAGGAGCAGGGGGAGGTTGAACCCGAGTCAGTATGGAGTTAAGGGCTTGCATGAAAGTTCCAAACTCAGGCACCAAAATCCCTTGAGGTGGAAGTGCACTAGTATTTTCAGAGGGAATAGGTTGTTCACTATTTGCCTCATAACTCTCACTATCAGTTCCTTCTTGTATCTCTTGTCCCCACCTCTTCGTGAATTTGAAGATTCCGACATCTATTATAACATACATAATAATAACATTATAATTAGTAAGAAGTGTCATCAACTTCGCTAAAATGACAACATAACAGTAACATTGACAATATGTTTGGCATATAATTATCTTTTTTATTTTAAAAATTAAAATTAGTTTCGACCGAGAATCGGCTAAACCTGTAGCTCTGATACTAATAAATTTAACACACATCTCCCGTATACTTTTTTGTACACGAGATACATATGTCACATCATCTTTATAATAGTTCCTCATTTGAAAACCCCTAAAATTTTTATTTTTCGATTTCTGAAAACATAACATTTTTATATAAAACAAAACATTGATTGTAAACTATGATAAGTTCTACTTAATTAAAGTTAAGAGCATTTTTAATACTGTGATTACATATCAAATAAGTTTCTCCAAAATAAACTAGATTGTCTTGGTGTTACTGATGAGTCCACCTTAATTGGTAAACCCCGCTGCTACAATTATACTCCTTACTCCGATAATCTCTACTTTTACCTACGCGTAGAAAACAACACATGTTAAGCATTTACTTAGTGAGATTTAATATTGTAAAGAACATTAAGGTATACATAAGCATCTCATGTTTATTTGTCTTTAACTAAGTTGTATCATCCACAGGGATTAGTTAAGTCACTCTTATTGAAACCAAACTTCTATCATATTATCATCATAAACATTTTTAGTATGTCCAACATACTTTTCTTTCGTTCATTTTTCTTTAGTAATTATTGATTAATTTCAGTTATGGTCTCTTTTCATGCATTAATACATCCATTCATGCATTTTAATCATGGCACCCTTTCATGCCTTAATGCATCATTTCATGCATTTTAGTTATGGCATCATTTCATGCCTTAATGCATCATTTCATGTATTTTAGTTATGGCATCTTTGCATTCCTTAATGCATCCTTTCATTCATTTTAGTTATGGCATCCTTTCATGCCTTAATGAATTCTTTCATGCATTTTAGTTACGGCATCCTTTCATGCCTTAATCTATCCTTTCATGCATTTTAGTTATGGCATCCTTTCATGCATTTTAGTTATGGCATACTTTCATGCCTTAATGCATCCTTTCATGCATTTTAGTTATGGAATCCTTTCATGCCTTAATGCATCCTTTCATGCATTTTAGTTATGGCATCCTTTCATGCCTTAATGCATCCTTTGATACATTTTAGTTATGGCATCCTTTCATGTCTTAATGCATCCTTTCATGTATTTTAGTTATGGCATCCTTTCATGCCTTAATCTATCCTTTCATGCATTTTAGTTATGGCATCCTTTCATGCATTTTAGTTATGGCTATAAGATCAATCGATACTAGTTCAAGAAATGTGCTATTAATGATGAACTAGAATCGGTAATGTCTAATCATACTTAGGAATTAGTTGACTTGCCTAAAGGATTTAAACCAATCTGTAGCAAATGAATCTTCCGAAGAAAATGAGACCAGATGGTTTGATCTAGTGGTACAAGGCAAGGATAGTTGTCAAAGGGTTCACTCAAAAGTTTGTTTTAAACTACTTTGATACATACTCTCTCGTTACGAAAATCAAAACGATTCGTGCATTATTTGCACTAGCCTCTATTCATAAGTTGCATATACATCAAATGGATTTTAAGACTGTATTTTTGAATAGAGATCTAAATGAGGAGATCTATATGGGAACAATGGTACACGAAATTTCATAAAACTATACTTAGTTTTGGTTTTGTTGTGAATGGTTTGGATGCTTGCATGTATTCGAGGATGTTTGGTACTGATTACGTCATCATAAGTTTTGTTTATTGATGATATGTTGATTTTCAGTTCTAACATTGAGTTCATTAACAAAACAAACAGTTTCTTGTCCACTAAATTTGAGATGATGGATCTGGAAGAAGTCAATGTAATCTTAGGAGTCAAAATTACCAAAACTGAAAAGGGTTTTTTCTTTGAGTAAAACACACTATCTTGAGAAAGTGTTAAAGAAATTTGACAGTTTTGATGTTTTCCCTGTTTGAACCCTTGTGACCCTAGCATATATCTCTTTAAGAATAAAGGAATTAGCGTTTCACAAACAAAATATGCTAAATTAATCGAAATATTAATGTTCTTAATGAACTATACTCAGCCTGATATTATTTATGATGTGAATAGACTGAGTAGATATACTCATAATCCGAGTGGTGAATACTAGATTTCTCTTAAACGCTTACTGACGCATCTTAAGGGTACTTTGGATTGGAAACTTGAGTTTGTTGGCTTTCTTGCGGTGCTGGAAAGATATTGTGATGTCAATTGAGTTTCTGATAATGATGAGGTAAGCTCTACGAGTGGGTATGTTTTTACTTTAGGTGGAGCAGCAATCTCGTGGAAATCATCGAAGCAGACTTATATTGCTCGTTCTACCATTGAGTCAGAGTTTATAGCTCTTGACCTAACTGGGCAAGAAGCCGAGTGGCTCATAAGCTTGTTAGCAGATATTTCGTTGTGGGGAAGACCGACTCCTCTGATTTCTTTATTGTGTGATTCACAAGCTGTGATATGTGTGGCTAAAAACCAAGCTTACAATGGTAAGAAAAGACACATTCGCATAAGACATGAATCAAGTAGCACTCAATAAAGAATAGAGTGCTCTCTTTAGAGTATATGAAGTCAGAAATTAACCTAGCAGATCCTTGGTCCTAGATTCGTCGAGGGGGATGGGTCTAAAGCCCATTGGTTGAGAAATTCATAGTGGATACCCAACTTAGTTATCTAAGTTCCATGTGGTCAAACAAAACCATGGAAAGACTCATAGTGCACATTCTTACTGTATATCCCTATGATGAATAATGTGCATGCTCAGGTTGAGCTTAATTGCTCTTAATAAATTCATAGCCTAGGATTTGGGTAGTCTTAGTGATAAAGACTTGATGAATTTACCGATTTTGGCTAAATATCTATTCTTAATAAGTTCATAACCCAGAGTTGAGTGGGTAGTTCTAATCGCGAAGGAATAAATGAACTTACCTTTTGAGATTATGAGTTTTATTAAACTCTTAATGAATTCAAACCCAAGAGTTTGAGAGTTCCAAGTGAGAAGGACATATTGAATGGGAGTTCCTAGTGAAAATGACATATTGAATTCATCGAATTATGAGGTTGAATATTTATTCTTAATGACTTCTTATCCCAGAGTTTGGGTGGTTCATTAATAATGAACTTGAATAAAGTCACCATACCCTTTGTGAGGTTGAGCTATTATAAAAGCTCTTAATTATTTCATAGCTCAGTTTGAGTGGTTTATGTTGAGATAAACTTGATGAAATAACCTACGTAAGTGAGAAGGATTAGTCACCTTCTATGAAAAACATTAGGTCGTTGTTTCTAGTGGACTTATTAGAATCCTGAAAAAATAGGGTTAAACATATATACGCTTTTGTATATACTCTTTGTAGACACATTGAGGACTTTGGTGGATGAAGGGGTTAGTTGTGTGTTATGAGTTTACCCCAATCTTAGAAAGTTCAAGACTAGTTTCACTTATCTAAGAGAATGATTGCTCATCATCACTATGTACTAGTTCCAGATACGTTCACTAGTGCTTAAGCAACTAATCTCGCTATTGCTCTTCTCATGTTTTAACTTCATTGCTCTCATCTTTACGAAAGAATTCTTTCAGATTAGTGGGGGAATGTTGATAATGCTCAATTGAATGTTGGAAAAATGCTCAAATTAGGTTATCCCACTGGTATTGGAAATATGCTAGTTAGGTTATCCCATAGTATTGGAAATATGCTCAAATTAGGTTATTCCACTAGTATTGGAAATGATCATTTTACCCTCACTATTTAGCCTATAAATAGTGAGCAATTTCATTCATTTTAAGATATCTCAAGCAAACATTTGCTTTGGAACACTCCTCTCTTTTGAGTGTAGTTTGAGTTGAGAGAAGAGCAATACCACCAAGTTCATTGTACAAATTCTTGGAGAGTCGTGTTAACCTTAGGGGGTTGTTCGTCCATTGTAGCGATTACACACATCGGGGCGAATTCTTGGAGACGGTTATCATTCTGATTGATTATTTTATTTAATATTTTTCAGTCAGTGCTAACGTCTCGTTTTGCAGCAATCTATTTTCCAACACAGTCTTCCCTGCAGGAATTATGAGACAAATTCCTGAAAATTATGCTCTCATGTCGTGAAGGGTATGCAAACTCGACATGTTGGAATTCAACTTCTCCTAAAATGGTATCCAAAATATCCCATTCCATATTGTCTAAATCTATTTTTGGCGTTCTTTTTATCATTTCATTTATATGCTCAGCAGCTGAACATGATTCAGATAAGGGCTTCAAGTTGGATAAACTATCAGATAAGGGCTTCAGATTGGATAAACTATCACCAAGTCGTATGTTCAATAAAAGGGAGAATAGCATTAAAATCTGAATAAAAGTTGTTTATCAAATCTGAAAATGCTTTGTTGTAACTATCTTAAAGAGCTTCTTGGTAAAAATTTAAAGTTTTTAAGAGAACTTTATGTTCAAAACTCTTACAGTCCACCAACAACAATGCATGCCTACTATGAAAATAGTTCCACCCTGAGCTCCATGGTACATGACCAGTTTGCTACCGTAGTAAGTAATGAAAGCCCAAATAGCAAAAGTAATGCCATTGCTTCCGATGACCAAGCCTTTAGCGAGCCCTTGCCTCAACCCCAAGTTCAAGGATCCTTGTAGATAAGGGTGAGCGTTCGATCGAGTCGATTCAAAAAATTTCAAGTTATTCGAGTTGACTAGTCCTATTTTATAACTCGGAGTTGACTTGAAATTTTTTCAAGTCGAGTGAGTTTATAAATTTCAAGTCGAGTCGATATTAAAAGTTTATGTTTAAATTTAATTGTGAATACTTATAATATTATAATATTATTTGGTTATAATTTAAGTGAGTTTCTATAACCATATATACAATACAAATATGTTTCTATAAATTTTTTTCATATGTGATATGCATATATCATACAAAGTCCAAGGACACGACTCAAACTTGAAAATAAATCCACTAATTACAAAAAATTTTGAGTTATTCGAGTTGTATTTTACAACTCGATTTGAACTTTAAATTTTTTCGAGTCGAGTTTATGAAATTGTAACCCGAAATCAATCTGAGTCAAGTATTTTTGAGTCAAATCGAGTCGAAAAATCTATTTTCCGAATCGAGTCAAATTTTGTTCACCTCTACTTGTAAAGCTTTAGAGAACTCGGCGGTAGTTTTGTTTTCAACCAACAAAGGCATATACTGTTCTTATTGAAGCTATTGCCTGCTCTGATATTGTACTGGCCTTATTGTACTCCACCCTTATCTTCATTGCAAGATTTAGTAAAATTTACCCGTATATTAAAGAAGGAACAACCAACAACAAAAGAAAAGGGAAAATCACAAGGGCTAATTTCCATGGTATCAGAAAAACTGCTATGTAAACTCCAATAAACGTAGCAGCTCTTGCTATTAGGTTTGGAACCTGACAAATGATAAAAACGTTTAATCAACTCACAACTTGTAGTAAAATAGTTCTTCATAAATCTTTTGCTTTAATTGTTTGAAGATTTTAGTTGAACTAACCTTCTCACTGATAACTTCTTGAATTATGAGACTGTCGTTGGAAACACTGGTGACTACTTCAGCTATGCTTGTTACATTCAAATCAAAGTAGCCAACTTTTTGTCTTAGGACAGCTTTCAAATACCTTATTCTTATTCTCATTCTCATTCTCGTCGCTTGTCTTTCACCTGTTCTTGTCCAACAAAGTCCCTCTTATCAATTGGGAAACATTTTGGTAACCAGTGGTGTCGATCTTAGAGTATATATGGTCACAATGTGGCGTTCATTCTGAATCTGAGATTCTAGTTGATCACCAAACAGGATTCATTATGGGTAATTTTCCTTCAGCAGAAATATCGTCTTTCTGAGCTTTTTACTACATCTATTACACGATATAATTATACCCCCTTATGGAAAGCTTTATCTTCCAATTCGGAGAGCTCAAAGTCTAGTATAGCATGATCGATGAGCAATGGGGTGTTAATTGATGTTTTCGATGACACTTGGATCCCGATACTAGGTCATCTCCCTCCTATGCTCTGTTTTGAAAACCGGACCGGACCGGCCGGTTCAACCGGGAACCGTTGCTTAGTCCGGTTCAATCTAAACCGGTTGAACCGCTATTAGTGAACCGGCCAGAACCGTTGAACCGTTCGAACCGGACCGGCTGAAAATCGGAAAAAACCGGAAAAAAACCGGGATTTTTGTTTTTTAAAAAAAAAATTAAACCAAACAACGTCGTTTGTTAAACGAGTCAAGTTGAACTCGAGTATTGTTGAGCTCGACTCGAACTTGAAAACTTTAAAAGTAAGCTCAACTCAACTCAAACTCACAAGCTAAAAATTATCAAGTTCAACTCAAACTCGAAATATAATATTGAAACTTGAACTCAAAAAGGCTTGAACTCAAAAAAAAATTAGAAGCTCGATTGAAGCCTAAAATTCGAGTTTGATTGAAGTGAAAGAATAGTTCACTCAATGCTCACCAAAAGGCTCCATAATTTTGAATGCCAAATTACCTCTATTATTTATAGAAGTTAGTTGTGATGCGCTTTTATGTTTCTTAGCAATGTGAGATTGTTTTGTTCTCATATTTTTACTCTTTAGACTTTTGGGATGCTCTTCTATGTTTCTTAGTCATGTGGGATTGTTTTTAAAAAAAATTAAACCAAACAATATCATTTTGTTATGATTTTTTTAACTCCAAATTTATTTTTTAATTATAGTTATATAATTATATTTATTATTTAATATGTTTTACTTTAAATATTATGTTGTAGTTAATTTGAATCATTTTGTTTCACTTGATTTTATGGTTTTTAACTTATATATGTTATGATTTACTTTGAATATGACTTGTGATATAAAAAATTATTTTTTATTAAATATTTTTGGTATTTTTATTTAATTTTTTAAATAATTATAACGTCGTCCGATTCTTTCGACCGGTCGGACCGGTTCGACCGGTTGAACCAGTGAACCGGTAGCATGACCAGTTCGCTAACCGATCCGGTTCTGAAAACCATGCTCCTATGTTCGTGCTTATTATTGTGGCCCTTCCTCTCGCACTTTCGTGGATTTCTTTAATCCTAATGGTAATTGGGATATCGATCAATTGTTAGTTGTGTTTACCGATGAGGTTATTCAATACATCTTGGCATCAAATGCCTCGACCCTTTGAGCGGACCAGATTCGTGTACTTGGAGATGGACTCCGAAGCAAGATTTTCAATGAAAATCTACTTATTTTCGACTGATGGGCAATGCATAGCTACCCAAACTTCCTATTTGAAAGTCATATGGTGCATAAAAAACCAATACTTTTAATAAATATATTAATTAGGGTCTGATTCAGATTGTGTGAAAGGTATATATTTTTCGAATGTAATTTTTGGGTAGGGTGGACTTAAAACTCGACCCAATCCACCCAACCCTAACTGCGCTCATACAAGGTTTTTGTGGAAGATGGTCCCTACACTATTACAGGATTACTTTTTCTCTTCAACCCTTCAATATTGGTTCAATGTGAATCTCAGTTTTCATCATCCTGTTGCAAATGGCACAATCCATTGGAATCTGTTTTTCGTGTCCCATATTTGGCACGTATGGAGGAATCAAAATGATATAGTCTTCAACGGAAATACCTTGCCCGGCAATTGTTTACTTCAAAAAAGTTTGACTTGAGCAAGATATTATAGTAACAGCTTCCCACTAATAATCCTTCATCGCCACAAATGGTCCAATGGAGAAGGTCCCGATATTGGTCATTTTTGTTTGAAGGTAGATGGTTCTTGCTCCATGTTTACTAGCTCTAGTTCCATTGGAGGGCTTATTTTCAACGTTCATAAAGTGATCGAAGTAATCAAAGTTTAAGGCAAAAGATAAAGAAAGGAAACGGAGAAATAAGCTATGTGAGGGAAAAGAATGCTTCTGCAATTCTTGAATAAACATATTTGTAAAACCACTGTAGTTTATATACAATAATTAACCGCTTAACAATAGTAACTAACTCCCTAACAAATCAGCTAACCGACCTTTCATAACTCCCCTCAAGTTGGAGAATGGTATATATCTAGCATTCCCAACTTGTACATCAAATATTCATGTTGTTTAACTCCTGATCCTTTTGTTAAAATGTCAACCAGTTGATCTTTGGTAGGCACATGCTTCGTTTGAACAACCCCTTTTAAATTTTCTCTTGCACAAAATGACAATCAATTTCGACCTCTCATGATAAATGATTTGTTGCTATTTGCTAGGCAGCTTGATGGTCGGAATATAGCGTTGCTGGTTGATGACAATTGATCCCTGGGCATCAACTAAACCTTTTAACCAAACAAGCTTTGCTACTATGCAGACCCGTTTCTGAGATTTTGGAGGCCTTAGGGCGAAAAAAATTAGGCCCCTAATCAAAGATTTAAATTACAGTTTAAATTTGTCTTCGGTCGTGTTGCGTTTATCAATATTACATATATAGCAGATGATATTACGGTCAGTGTAAATATAGTAGTTGTGAATTTTTAATAATATATGATACTATGGGCATAAAAATTATGGATATCACGATTTCGGATAATATTGTTACTACTACATAATGATTGTTGTTGTGGTTGCAGACCATTTTTTAAGTAGTTGTTCCTAATAACAAATGTTTAAAAAAATTAAGGTAACTCCATATAACAAGCATTGAAAATTTTGGTCTCTAATAAAAAATATTTAAAAAATAAATTTTAAGAGTATGCTCATAATAATAAATATTGAAAAAATGGACTTCTAATAAAAAGTACTGAAAAAATTAGACTCGTAATAATAACAAATAAATTTTAGAAAAGAAACTAAAGTTTAGAAGTATGCCTCTAATAAAAAATATTGAAGAAATTAGGCTCCTAATAACAAATATTAAAAAAAATTGGACCCTTAATAATAAATGTTAAAAAATATTAGTAAAGAATTAAACACTAATACAAATATTAGGAAAAAAATAAATTATAAGAATAGACCCTAATAATAAATATTAGGAAAATATGAACCTATAATAATAAATATTAAATTAAAATTAGGTCCTCGATAACAAATATTAAAAATAATTGGGCCCCATAATTTATATAAATCCATTTTTTATAAATATAATATATTATAGAAATTCTGGGCCTGGGCAGGAGGGCACTGCTACGGCCCAGATACGGCCCTGCTACTATGAAAGCCATACACCGGTACTCGGCTTCAGTGGAGGAATGCGATATTGTGCTTTGTTTTTTAGATTTCTAGCAAACAAGTGACTCCCCTAATTTGATGCAGTATCCAGCAACCGCCCGCCTTGTCATGGGGCACGCAGCCCTGTCTGAATCACAGAATGCAACCAAAGAAGGTTTACTACCTGTCCAAAAAATATCTTTCCCTGGACTATGTCTGATATACCGTGCAATACGCAAAGCAACTTCATAGTGATCCTTTGTGGGAGCCTACATAAACTGGCTTAAATGTTGAACAACATACATGATGTCGCGTTC